TCTTATAGAATACTCCTTTATTTATTCGGACTTACATAGCAGAAATAAGACAAGAAGGCTTTGCAATATTAGCATTGCTGTGTAATTGACGTTATGTAAAACTTGTAAAATATTTTAGAAATAAAAATATTTATGTTATAAACATTGTTGGAACCTGATGTAGCCATTAAACATGGTTCTTTCACTGAAACCACTGTTACGTTTCTGATGATAAAATGATATGAGCATGTTGAAATGCTTTGTAAATGTTATGATGTTAAATCTGAATACTTTTATGGTGAACATTTTTGTGTCTGTAGTGACTTCACTTTTATGAAGAGAACGCGATTGGTTTAATAGAAACATTCATTACTATAATCGGTTTCACCAGGGACTGTTTTACTGAACTTTTCACTTATTCGAATCAGTACGCGCAAAATTTTTGTTTGTGTTGCTGCCATTTTGGCTCTGATGTCTCTGTAATTTCGCCCTTCTTTTCTGGCATGATTCCGGTATTCTTTCGACACCACGAAATCGCCAGCAAATATATTCTTCAGTATGTTTTAGTTTTTCTTCTCTGTGAAGGGAACATAATCTGTCTGTGGTGGTGGCCTCATTCACGACGCGACACGCTACATGTCTTTAAACGTGGCATTCTCATATAAATGATTCGAAACCCCACGATTCCTTAAGTCAAATATACGAAAACTGGGATTTACATTAACCGTTGAAGTTCGGACAAATTTAATAGAGATCACTGCGGTAGTACTCAGTTGAACGGCATTATTTGATAATGAATGCTAGATTATTCCATGTAGCATCTTGATTTTTATGCCATGTGTATTATTTTTCTCTCAGAAAAAGTGTGTTCTCCAAAGGTCACTGCAAACAACCAATGTCTGCCACGATTGGACGAGTCGATACATACAATGATATGACTTTGACAGGAGATATAATAGATTAGGTAGCCATATCACAGCAAGTCCACACTGCTAACCTCTGTCCATAATTCTAACAGCATGGATAAGTTCATCACTACTGACCTAGACCCAGATCCAACGGTATTATTAACACATGTATCAATGATAATTGAGCCGTCAAATATTTTTTGTGACACAGCAATTACCACGCAAAGCATCATAAGTGAACAGTCGAACCTAGTGGAAAATAGAGATGACAACATGACATGAGTGCACCCGCGAGACGCGTGTTCTAAAGTGGACATATTGATATTCAATAAACCATTCCTTACTATTTGAACTATTTGATTGGTGGTGCATAGAAGGTAGTTTCAAGCAACAATTTTGGTATAACACAGGAATGGACCTTATTACTGCTTTCATCATAAGGTTGTGGAGATTGCTGATTTCTACAGAAGTCGTGTACCGATCAATGTTAGACCACCATTAGAAACCCGAAAGCACTGGACAGCGATTTCGTCCTAGTGTGAGAGGCATCGGGATTGCACATTCACGACTCCACACTCTAGAACCAGACCCAGGACCTTCAGTCTCATGCGCAATTTACTAACCTCTATACCACTCAATTGGCGTCCGAGGGTGTTGATGTCTAACCTTATTTAATCTACAATATTGCTAGACCTCATCCATTTTCTTCGGTGGACAACACTTCATATCCTAAAGGGTTGAAGCTAACCGGTCACGATTTCTCACTAGAACTGGGAGAAATTTATCGTTATTACTCATGTATGTTCATTCATAAGCTTCATGAAGAAACCACTTCGAGTCTTATCAGAAATACAATTATGCACGAGAATTTCAACGGTGTTAATACTCATAATGATTCGACGCATCTTACCATACAAAAATGATCAATCAATTGACTTTTGGGCAAAAAGGGAAGAAGGACGAAAGTAAGGTCAAGATATATGTGAAGATTATTGAAGATGTATATTTATGGCAGAGAATAAAATGAAATCGTTATGTATGTAATTCACAAAGGATATACGGAAAGTCGACAATTCAGTAAAACCTGATGATGGGATAATACTTTAACGATGATAGTCTAGACTGACGGGATGGAAATCACAAATAATTGCTGGTGGAGTTCATCAAATGTTAACTGTTCAGGGCCCTACATAGCTGATGAGCATAAAATGACTATGGAAGGTCGAACTACTTCGGCAAGTTTGGAGCAAGACTTGTTCTTCAGTGGCAAACTTTGCAAGCGTAAGAAAATATTTATGTAAGAGATAAAGTGGAACAGTAGCGAAAGGTAGAAATAGAGAGCGAAGAATAAAGGAACGTTATAACCAAGGATCATATAACTCCTGACTTGTACCGGTGGTAATGAGGCTACCTTTTGTAAATATTGGGGTTAATACGATGAGGAAAATTTGAAATTGTGGGAGATTTTCTCAACCGCTTGCACTGATGATTTGCATAAGTGACTGTGTTGTTTGATCTCCAGTTGAATTAACAAAGATTTAAGCCGCCGACAAAACAAGCAACTTCTAAAAAATAAGCCGAAATCATCTGTGTTAAACAAAGACGACTTGGAAGACTAGTACTACAACATACTCCCTCCAAGATTCGTACCTGCTGGACCGCATCTTGTAGTTCACTACAGAAAAGTAAAATATTTCCGGCTCAGACAACATAGTCATGACAATTAGCGTTGTACAAACCCCTTGAAAATTATTTAAGTGATGTGAAGGGGGAGATAAAAAAACTCCGGAATACTGTGGCTCGGAATTCAAAGTCTGAAACACAATGAGACTGATTTTTGTCTCTCCCTTTTTCTATAATTCTTTGATTTTCATTCGATTTATGGTTCGCTGATATGCTTAATTTCATTCAAAAATTACTACAACTTCAAAATAACCACCGTACCGAGTTCGCAGTTTGGATATAACCATGTTTTTCTAATTCTTCATACATTGTGATCTTGGGGAGTGTGTGTTTATCAGTGTGCCTTTTTTCGTTAATCGAATATACAGTAAAACCAGAATTGTCCCAGTTAATAAATCTTTCTTTCTGTAGCTCACTATCCAGGATAATTTTCTTGTCTCTGTCAATGGCCACTTAGTTACTACCGAGCTCACGTATGACTTATTACAATAATAACTAAATGGCCTATCGCGTCGAGGCCTTGGTTATTAATAGGCAGACGGTTAAGGGACTTAAAACTAAGGAATCAACCTACCTAGACTAGTTCAGCGTTAAAAGGAAGACGCATGAGTTGTTATCAACAATCCTGAATCTACTAATCAAGCACATGAGATCAAATGAGGCGACATCCACAAGAATGGGTCTCCCAGTTGTGAAGGAACATTACTGACATTTCCTTAACTTCCTCGTCGAGGTGTCTGAGCAACTATAAAACCAATAGCAGAATGATATCGATGGCTGGGTGAGAAATTAGACGTGAAGAACTGGGTACGCTTCTGTGTAAGCTGCTAGAAATCTCTGGTAATTAGGTATAGCCAGTACCCTTTGGGCTTTTTATCGACTGTCTCTCACTTCTAACACGTTCACCTGAGTTTAGTAGTACGTTTCCCGGGTTCAGACGAATGTCATTATCTCATAACACGCGATGGCCAGAAGCATTACCATTCAAGGAAATAATCATCTCAATAGTGTCTCGCGCATTAATCGAGTGGTGGGTAGCAAACTTCGACGTGAGCGCTATGTTGGATTTCGGCGTCGATACCATTTTGATGCACTGTAAAGAGACACATCATCCCGATGAACCGACTATCACACACAAATTGAAGATCTCACTGACAACTATAAGTCCCACTTTCAGCTAAATGAGTTTCAAAATGGACTGACATCCTTCCACTCGTATCATTAGGAACTTAAATGCAGTGAAGCCTGATGTTGTACGCAATGGAGCAGAACTGGTTAACTACACGAAACTGACTTCTAGCACTATAATTGAAGTCTTCACACTTTTCAATGGATTTAGGTCTACCTACACTAGCAGGCTTACAAACGCAACGTGCCCGATAAAACATGTTTTCGCTTCATTTCATGTTTTCATTTAACCCGTCCTATGACTAAGTACACGGTTTCGCGCGTCACGACTCCCTTCACCTATCCAATGGAGCATCATGTGGGGGACTGTGAAGAGTATCACATGACTTATGAGAACGGGACTAAACATGACCGCGCTCTCGAGCGGCCTAAAGCCATTTACTTAGGAGAAAACCCTTTCTATCGATTCTCTCACTTCACACTCAAATAACATAAGCCCCACAGCTGTGATGCAATCCTCGCTAAGTAAAGATTACAGCAACAACAACAAATATCTGTTATCTCCGTTTCTAGCTTTTGGTTTGACTGATTCTGAGATTCAAATTCTATTCTGATGAATTTCTCCTGACCTTTTATCTCTTTCTAAGTTTACGTCACCTGATTATACTTGTCGAATCATATCTTCGAACCCTATCTTCCCAATTGCCGCCGATACATCCACTACATCTACCACTATAGGATTTTTACTAAAAATTACATCTCTCTGTGCCGATGTGGTTTGGCGACCTGAACAGATGCACGTACGTACGAAGCTGACTGACTGAGTTTGGGAATCTCGATGAAATGTCAAGACGAAAGCATAGTCAAGCCCTAAATATTCATAAAATTTCAGATATACTAGTTTCTTAGCATCATATGGCTTGAAAGGATGTACATGTTTCCAGAAGGATTCAACAGTGAAGGGTAGGCTGAAAATAGCTACAAATTGTAATTTATGCCCAATGCCATAACAAATAAAAAAAATAGATAATATATTTAGTATCCAGCAATGAGGATATGTAATTAACGCATACAATACTGACGTATTCATATGTAAAATGTCACAAAAACAATAGAAAATACATGTTTTATTTGATAAGAATTATGAAATTTTATTGGCATCATATACATCATTGATCCAATGGTGCAATATGAAACCAACCATGGTACAGAGTCTTACATTTTCAGACAATTATTTTGATATATTTCAGATTATTTAGGGCTTTAATGCAAGGCAGCACATCTTGTTCTACTACTCAGGTAATTTATTATAGCGCTCTGTTTGAAATTCGGCTGGTCGTAATGTGGATTGCCAGAAAATGACTAATACTGGTGTGTTTCATCTGGATATGCCAGAAGGTCCAAGTTATGACGATAGTGAAGAGAATTCTCATGACTTCTGTCCGACAACTGGAGGGGTGGAGGTAAGGTTTTTTCCTGTGAAACTGATGTTTTAGGACGAGTTTCTTGAGCGTGGTCCACTAAAACCAGAGGAGTAAGCCATGGAGATCCTTTTAAAATCATTATATAGGCTCAATGAAGATATCGAAACGGTTGAAATATGCGAAGAAACTGTTAATCCCGGACAACCGAAGGTCCGGCCACACGATTTTCAACTTCTTAAAGTCCTGGGTAAAGGGGGTTATGGAAAAGTATGACTTGAGTCAATTTTTCCAACATTCTTGCAGGTTTTTCTAGCTCGAAAGAATGATAGCGGACAGACCTATGCTATGAAGGTCCTCAAAAAGGCCTCAATCGTGACTAATGCGAAGGACACTGCTCACACCAAAAGCGAAAGGAATATACTGGAAATGATTAAAGTACTTTTTGGTTGTTATGTTCATTGTGTAGCACCCATTTCTAGTTCAATTGCACTTTGCCTTTCAATCCCCTGGGAAGCTATACCTTGTCCTAGAGTTTTTGGCTGGTGGGGAACTTTTTATGCAGCTTGAAAAAGAGGGTGTTTTTATGGAGGATCAAGCTAGGTAAGTTTGCTACTGCTTCTTACTGCTCTTAAGTGTCAGTGTAGACTTGATTATTGTAATACAGAACTTTCCTATTTTGGTGTAATTTTGATTATCTAAGTTGATTGAAATCGTCCTGAATCTTAAGCGTGTTTTAACCTGACAAACATAACAGAAGTATGTCTATCATCAACAGTAACTGTGGGGCATCACTCAAAGCTCGGTGAAGTACTAACATGTTCACTAAACGTGTGTGGTTCCCTAACTTTCGGTATACGGATGAGATTCCCTAGATAAATGAGGCAATTGACACGCTTCACTAATTCACTCCCTATCACTAGTCCGGGTGCCGACGCAAGCCAATCTTGCATTTTGAGAGTGAGGGACACATGTATTGTTGCTTAAGGTAGTCAGAAAACTGCATTTTTTCAGCGACTTTACCAAATAGAACTCTCATCGTCATCTTCTGAGTCACCAGTTGAATCTCCCGTTTAAAGTTCAGCTCCTGAAAACTCAGACGAAGATAATGTTATATCTAGAAGCAGGTCTGTGACAAAATTAAACAAGAATGGAGAAAGTGGACATTTATTATGAACACCACTTTAAGTAGTCAGCTCCCGATGACAACTCACCCTTAAGCTGTCTCGGCCAGTAGGGTTGGTGTACTTCTGTGGAACTCGTTTCAGTGACACTGCCACAGAACCTCACGATCAACAGTCAGACTCCGCCTTCATGTTGAAAAATACTACTATTTTGGGACGTCTGAATGTGTTTATGTTCTGGGGCCTGATGTAGTGTGAATATTTGGTCTATGCTCTCACGTAGGTCAGAAACCGGCCTGGTTTTTTTGAGTTTGCTCTTAACAAGCTTTAGTTAGGCGTCGAAGTATTGTTGAAGTTAACACTCTTAATACTCTATTAGTCAAATTTATTCCTTTGTGATTGTCACAAAAGGACTTTTGACTAGCTGGATGAGATTATACCGAGTTCCCAGATTCTACCTAATATCACAATCAGTCTAACTTCTCACACTGAACCACCACGCCTGTATGGGTCTTAGGACCTGATTTTCTTTAGTCTGCTCTTCACGAGCTTTCGTTAAGCCTCTGAGTATTACTGAGGTCAATATTTTAGATATTACTAGTTAAACTGATTCCTGTGTGATTGTCACATGAGGACTTTTGTCCTTTTTTGGACTGGGACAATCAATGATTGAGACCAGTCAAATGGGATTACTCTCAGTACCCAGATTCTACTTAAGATCTCAATCAAACTGCTGAAACTGGATCACCTTCCTTAAAAATCTCAGGGGTAAACCTGTCAGGCCCTGATGGTCTCCCTCGCTTTAGATTTCCTATGGCTTTTTAAACTTCATTAAGAGTCGGAGGACTTACATCAACGTGGCATTGAGGTTGACTGGAGATGGCCGGTAACTGAAACTGCAACTAAACGAAGTAAATATGGATGGGAGAAAACAGCAATTAATCACAGCAAAAAATGAAGTCTGAGACACTCAATTGAAGTTAAATTTTACATAACCTCACTATAAGAGCATTGATCGGGAAGCATAGAACATACTGAATAGAACTTAGCGAATACACTTTCACATACCTCAAAAAGATAAATATTGACTTTCTAAAATCGACACCCTCAACTGATTCACGAACCTCTAAAAATGGTGACAATATATCCAATATTCCATGATTTGTTATTTGTGATCGTTCAGATGATTGTTTTGAATATTAAAGAATGTACGAAATGGGAATAAAAGACTCAACGAGCATGCGTTTTGGAAACCATTTATGTTCTCAGTGGGCCACGTTGATCAAGAAGCATATCCCATAAGGCAGTTGAGTAACGTCAGGAATTGTAGTCTCACGGTAACCGGTGACCAGCTGTTGTTTTATACACCATGTTTCAACATGACCCTGGGGCCCATGTACACTATTGGTTTGTAATTAGTGTTTTACGTCTCCCCCCTGTGGATCATTCCATACCCACCAACCATGTTAAAGTACTGGGAAAATTTTTTTTGTCCTCTCAATTTCGTAAACAACACCCATTGCGAGAATGCAGTGAGTAGAAAATCCTTGACAATGGCATTTTAAATCGGAGAAAGGACTCCCCAATCGACTGTACTAAAGCATTTAGGGCGTAAGTTTGAACTGATAGACTTGAAATTTAAAATTTGCTGAACTTTTTCCATTTGCGGTAACCTGTTTAAAGCGTCTCATCATAAAAAGAATCCGATATGCAAGCAATATAGTGTAGTGTATAAAATTTCCCACAAGAGTTTTAGTATTGTAAGCCGATTTTATCATAGCTTTCTTGAAAATAATCACATGGTGACTATATTTGTCCGTTCTGATGACCTATTTCGTGATTGTTTTTTTCGAAGACCCATTGCTATCGCGGGTTTTGTCGACAGTCACACCTGGCACTGAATCGTCTAGTTTCAACCTTGTAGGTTGGTAAATTATCGCTTTAGGTATCTGTTGGTTCCGATTTGACAGAGTCTTGTGTTTCTGCACATTCTGCATGTAATTGGATGAAGCGGATGTAGTTTTGCAAGCAGCACTGGTCCTCGTTCTAAACCTTACCGATTTCTGAATTACTCACAAATGATAATGCTTGACTTTCAGAAAATAATGTCACCATATTTAAGCATATATTAGTCAGTGACTGGTTTCATGACGTAATTCTGAGATTTCGGAGTTTTGATTAGGGAAGCTCAAACGTATTAGATGTGAGGCAATTACTCACAGAAGACGATGAAAGATTGTCTTGTAATATCACAAATAGGCTGTTTGACGTGTATGACATAACTGCATCGGGGCTCTAGTCTATTAGGGGTAAAGCACTCACCATGCGATCAAGAGTCGTAGGTTCGGTTTCCAGTTCCTAAATAGATATTGATGAGAAGACCTATTCTGGAGCAAAACAGCCAATCACTGCTTGCTGGTTTTTACTAGAGGTCTAACTTATGTTGGTCCATGACATCAATAAGTTTTTTTACTGGATGCTTTTTCAAAATACTGCGTAGATAGTATCCTCTCATTGTGCAATGAGGGTGCTGAACTGTCTTGGCACGTCTGAAATACCAAAATAAGCTTTCCTTTCATTTAATTCAGGGTGGAAAAATGATTCATTTCTACCATCAACCTCCATAATAACGCCACCAGCAATAGTTACAATGGAAAATAAATGGATATGCGTTAATTTGTTTGCTGTGATTTCAGATGTTCATTTAGTCTGGGTTTTCAGGCGAATAATATATCTGTTCGTTATCCTAACTTTTCTTCACTCTTTTGACCTAAAGTCTTCATTTCTAAGACTCGAGTCAACTATTTGAAGAACAGCATTTTCAGTACATTTTGTCGTTTGCTTTATTAGATGACTGGAAATGATTTATTAAAATAACTTAAAATGTGTTTTGTCTTACATTTCATTCAGTTTTTATTTGGCGGAAATAACTCTTGCCATCGGTCATCTTCATTCAATGGGGATCGTTTATCGAGATTTGAAACCCGAAAATGTACTGTTAGATCACCAAGGTCATGTGAAACTGACAGATTTTGGATTGTCTAAAGAGAGAGTCGACCGTGACAACTTAACACATACTTTCTGTGGAACTATTGAGTACATGTAAGTACTACATAATTTTAAAAGGTATCTGAGTAATGTTGATTACAAACGAAGCTGGGAAAAGTGTAACAATATTATTTTGTTGGTTATTTGCAAAGGTTGATTCAGTTTTCAGGTGATTTTCATCCTGAACTAGCCTCAGTTGAAAAACCATCGAGAACAAGTGCACTAAACAGCTTTTCGGTTTATAAGGTAAATTCATTAGGCGTTGTCTCACCTACTTCAAAACTTAGATACTTTTGGTTTCGCCGCAAACATATTGTTTTTCGGCCACTGGTTCAACTTCCATCCTTCATTTTCAACTTTAATCCATTTTTTGATATTAGGAAGGGGTTTGTGAGGGAATTTTGTGTTGTGTAGTTCAGACACAAGGTGCTAGTAAATACCTTACCTGTTAAGAATGAGGATTGCTTTTATTGAAGAAAACTAAATTATTCTATTCTCAACTTCATTATTAAGTGACTGTTTAAGTATATCACTTGTTCTTGATCTTTTTTTCAAATAAGCCTTGAATGTTTTATTCTGAATGTGTGCCGTACTTTGTGATCTTGTCCAAGCAATCGAAGATAAAGAGATTTGTTGTCAAGAGACATAACTTGTCACTCGTTTTCATTTTCTAGCAACTTGAGGACTGTATATTGTGCAAACATTCATTGCTCAGTTTCGTCCGCTTGGTGTTTTTTTGCGATATTTTGGTTCTCAACATCAATTTCATGCTTACTTTACAGGGCTCCCGAAATACTGTTACGTCAAGGACACGGAAGAGCCGTTGATTGGTGGAGTCTCGGCACACTAATGTATGATATGCTTTCGGGATCTGTGAGTTCCTCGTTTCGTTGTATATTTGTTTAATTATTTTACGTGAAAGCTAACTCCTATTGTTTTCACTTTCAGCCTCCATTTACAGGCGATGATAGAAGACAAACTATTGACTTGGTAAGCGATCCTGATTTTTTTCCAAACTTGATACAGACAGACAGATCCAACTCAGAACTTCGTACGTATGTACATCAGTTCAGGTTGCCATACAGCATTAGCACAGAGACGCAACTATCAGTTCAAATCCAATAGTGGTAGCGATAGTAGAAGTATTAGCAGTAATGAAGAAGATTAGGATATAATTCAGTGAGATAAAGTTAGAGATAGAGATGATGAGGAATTCAGAAGGTTAGAATTAGAGAGAACCCAACGAGTGGATGCACCTGCGCCACTGCAAACGATTTTAAGCCATGTCTTTCAAGGTCTCTAACCATTGGTGACCATCGTCTCGCGGACCCCAACTAGGTAGCCTACATCTACCAACATGACTCATTCCACTTGTCAGTTAATTCATGGATTTGTGCCATGTTTTGGTTTGGCCGCCCCTAGCTTTCTTCCAATCTACTCCTACACTGCAAAACATAGCTCGTCGCGGCAGTCGGTGGTTGAGCATACGTAGCACATGTCCCAACCACCTCAACTGACGAAGTTTTACTACTTCATCTATTGGTTTGCCATCCTTACCTAGAACTCGCTTCCTAACGACAGCATTGCTTATACGGTTGTCCCATGATACACAAGCAATGTTCCGGAGACATCGATGATCGAATACTAGTAACCTACGGAAGTCCTCTACTCTTAACGGCCAAGTCTCGCATCCGTACAGTAGGACGGAGCAAACTGCTGCGAAGTGCACTCGTCCGCAAATGGATATCTCGCCTGCTCCATAAGTGACGCAGGTTGGCAAAAGCCAATCGAGCCTTCTGTATCCGAGCTGAGATTTCGTCGGTCACCAGGCCATCAGCTCTGATGAGACTCCCAAGATATGATACAAGGGAAATTCAATTGTTTAGGCAAGTTATTTATAACTTGCCGATTAACTTTTGTCAATACCTAATAAAAGTGCAATATGAAGTGATCAGCATTTAAAAGATATAAAGACATAATTATTTTCAGCGCTCTTTTTATCAGATCCATCATATTCGAAAAGCGTTTTTAATTGCACTTATCTGGTTGGACTACCGTGAACAAATAATCAACAATGAATTAATCGAGATGCATCTCATGTTTTATTGTAAAACTAGTGAAAATATAAGAAGAAAAAGTGACATAAAAACCACTTAGTATGTAGCATAATTGTGTAACTTGATAATATTTTGTAAAGTGTTCAATATTTCCCAATTTTATTTAAGCCATTTACTGCGTTTGCATATCCTTCTAAACGAAATTTAATAAATTCTGTGGTTAAATGGATTGTATTTTGTCCGATGTGTCGAATAGTCTGTTTCTGAAAAATTAGTATACGTTTTGTTAGTTACTTCTATTGTACATTATAGAGTTTGTTAATGCGATAGATCCATGATAAGTTATCTGATACAATCTTATTTTGTTTAAGATATTACGAGGGGACTTTATACCTGTACCTTATTTAAGTCGCGAAGCTGTATCACTTATTTCCAAGGTAAGTTATATGAGTGAGTTTTACAATTATTTATGTTAACTATGTTCCTAAATAACTCAAATCGCCTTTAAAATGTCGAGTATGCATCCTTATGTTGGACTTAGTTTTGATACTTTTGATACTTTGTAGAATAGTTAGTAAAATTGTGGAAGTTTGGGACTAGTAATAATGACTTCTTCAAAGGAAGTCAGAACTTGGATGATATTCATCGAAATATTGAATCGATCATTTTCAGAGCACTGGACGACCGTTTCATCCTGGTATAGAGCTCTTCAGCAGTGTGCATTCACCGATCCCCCTTCTCAGGACTTGAACCCATGACCTTTGGTTTCGTGCACGAATGCTTAATCCCTAGAGTACTGAGCGGGCATCTAACGGTATTAATGTCTAGCTGTAGTTGACTCAAGATATTGCGCAACCGCACCCATTGTCTTCAATAGGTATACCCGACAGGGTTGAACTTCTCTGGTCACAGCACCTCAGCAGAACTGCGAGAATTATTTCCTCACGAAACTAGTCACTAGGTGATATCAGCTTACCTATAATTTGTTATTTGGGAAATAATTACTGTAATAAAATAAGCTGGTTTGTATAAACATTGACCGCACATAACAATAATTCTTCAAGGAAGTCATCTGTTTTCATTGGATTGGGATGAGTTATGTCACTTAACAAAATTAGGCATAGTTGTGATCCATAGGCGAGTACGACAGTCCGCAAGATAACACTCTTCCATCGACTTGATTGATCCACGCATTCAGTATCAAATCATAGTCTACCCTGGCTAGCCAAAGTTGTGTCATGCTGAGCAAACTATCAGACTAAAACGCTCTACCAGTCCGTGTAGTTACTGACTCTTGGCTCTAGTCGCGTAATGGTATATAGGTCTGTAAATGTAAAAATATTATTTTCAGTTTGCCTTTGTTTCGCTGTCCGCGTTCATTTATATTTATCCTAATATAGTTATTATGTCTTCCCTGGTGCAAAGTGTGATAAATCAGTGCATAGCGCTTTGTAATAACTATATGTTTTAAGTGTACAAAAATAATTTAGGAAGCTTCTTCAGTTACCGTAAGTGCTGACCGAGCTATGGTTTTCAAATAAGTTAACTGGATACTAAAGTCATTTTTAATTTGTTTATAAATTCCTCATTGTTTTGCTTTTTATGATTACTAATTGAAACTAATCTAATCCTCTATGAAAGAATAATATCATTTTATTGATAAGCACTCACTTATATGCTTAATTTATCTTAAACTTTCTTCAGCTTTTGGTTGTTGATGTCAGCAGACGCCTTGGTTCTGGACCATCTGATTCCGAGGCAATCAAAATGCATCCGTTTTTCCGTAATACTGATTGGGATCGTGTTCTGAAGAAGCAGGTTGAACCACCTTTCCGACCCACTTTGACATCTGACACAGATGTTTCTCTTTTCGATCCAAAATTCACTCAAGAAAATCCCGTTGAAAGTCCGGATGAGGGTTTGCCAATATCTGCGATGGTTTCTGATGTTTTTGAAGGATTTACTTATGTCGACCCTCAAATTCATATTGACATGGCCCGTGATCCCTGGGTATCTACTTGGCAAACCAGTTCACGATCACGTCGAAGATCTGGAATTTCATCTAGCAGGTAAGAATTTCGGATTTTCGCATGTTAACCACATTTCCTAAGAATATAAATTGTTTGCTGCAACTAAAGGTTTTTTAAATATTCATGTCTGATTTATTATGATGGTACGGTAACTCAGTACATTAATATGTTTTACGTATTTTAGTTCTCCAGGTTTCGTCGGACATACAATAATGGGGAATCCCAATACTCTTATGCAAGGAACTGATGTTCTTCACACTCAAACCCCTCATCCCGAACAGCTACATTCTACATTGGCTACTCATCCAAATACTATTCAAACTTCTATCCCGGCTCAACCACAGCCGTTTGTTTTTGCTGAGGATTTCGAGGATATGGACGTCACTAGTACTAATCAAACTTTTAGCAACAACCCACTTGATAATCATCCAACAGCTATTAATACTGTCAATATGTCTAACAACAATTCTGTAAGACACGCGTATGCTTCGCCTCTTGGTTCTCATCGGTTAGAAAATGGTCGGGTGATGGAAACCAATGTTTGTGATGCATATTCAACACGCTCGAGCGAACATGTTAATGGAATAATTCCAAAGTCACTTGATACACGTCTGGTGAACCCATCAAGTTCTGCTGCTGCACAAGTATCGGCACTTGCTGCAGCAGCGCTTGCTACTTCTTCCCGTTTGGTTGGTTCTGTACAAACTCCTCCAATTGCGTCTTATAACTCTCCCAATCGACCTACCATGAATGACCATATGATGTTTGATCCTCAAAATATTAGACTTATGAACCTAGGAAGACCCCAGTCACAAACTCCACTAGCCGCAATAGAGAGTTTGCATACCCAGAGGAAGTAGTTTCTGTTCAAAAAGGAGTAATCAAGTTGTTTAATTTTTCTAAGTTTCTCAGGCTTCGTAATTTTATTTATGTATGAACTAAGTGAATGACCGTGTATTATGATGAACGTCTAGCTTTATTTCATGAATGTCAGAATTTTGATGCAAATCTTTGTCATTTTCCCATTTCCGATGTGCGTATTTTCTATGCAACTGATATATTTTATTTTGTCGTGTGCTATTTTCATCCCAAATAAGCTCATCTGTGACAGTGTTTCTTCATGTACAGTGGCTTACACATACTGTTCACAAGATTCTAATGTTCATACAATCAATAAATTTCGTTGTTTAAGGTAGTGTTTTTGATTCCTACCTGGGAAATTTATATATATATATATATACCGATTGTATTATGGGAGTTTTGTAAACATGTATTTTTTCCATTTCATTCTCCGATCTTTTCTTGAAGTATCATTTTGGATTAAATCTTGATTACAAAGTCTTTGATCATAAACAAGTAAAAAGTATTTCCAGACAATGCTTTTCATGGATATATAATTTACTTATATCACGAATAAATTCATTGTTATTTTGACCCAGTGGATGTTTTCATCTAACCAATCATGGTACATTCATATTTTTTGCTTTATTATATTATAACACTCGGTAAACCGAGTGATTTCCCCAACTATCAGATTTATCAAACTCTTTAGATATTTCTCTTTATATTCTTATTTCACTTAGAATCCCTGTTAAATTGTTGACTAATTACCATCCCTAATTTGAACACTTGCATGTTAGTGTACATTTTTTGTCAGTATTTTATGCGTTTTCCCTTTGCGTTGTTTTCATTTTTGCAATTATCTAATTTATCTATTAGTTCAAGCCAAGCTAACAAATCAGTTATTTGGTTTCTACAATCATGTATTTATTCCAACGTTAGCTATTGTCCTTTTCTTTACCTACTCATTAAGCATTCCTACCTCGATAGTTATTTTCACCTTCATAAATCTTGCCGTGGAAATTTTCTTGGTTTATAAAAATGTTTGACACATCTGTATGGAAAATGCGATATTTTTTGAAGCACCATTTGTGCCTCTCATTTTTTTAATTTTTGCTATTCTGTTCAGCGTCGTATTCATATTGGGTTGACGCTATGTGGTTTGATTATGTACTATATGAGTCTACCAGCGTATTCTTCATCATTGTTTCTGTAATAAAAAAAGATATTTGACTTACTATCTTTAAGTTTACAGGGCTTCCTGGAACATTAAACTTGACTGGTGCTTTACTACTTATATCATTTTTCCTCTGACTACTAAAATGTTTCTTTGAATCTTATATTACTTATCACTTTGTTAACGCTGTTTTGATATTTCTGTTTATGCTGATATGATATTGTTATTATTCAGCCTCTTGAGTGGAAAAATGACTTTTTATGTTATTATGTAAATCAGTGAGTTTTTCTCTTATTCTTTTTCTTTATTTTTAAGACCCCAGTTCGCTTTCATCTGATGTTTCACTGTTTTCCTACAAAGATTTCTTGTAACTCAGCCGTAACTGCCTTTTAACGGTGATTCGAATAAAATTCATTCTTTTTCATAGTTTTTATTTTTCTTGGTTAATGTGTGTGTGACATAGTTGCATGAACGTTTATTCATCGTAGTTTATGGGTTATCTCTATTTTGAGTGACTAAAATCAAAGTTTAGGTATATATTTCAAGCAATAGTATTACATATCGATTGAATTATGCAATTTAGAGCGTCCGTCTGTGGCAAAAAAATCAGTATCATAATCTTATTTACTAATTTCTATCATTATTATTTGGATAAGAATGATGATTTTTTAATTGAGTTGATTAGTTAAGATTAGCCACCTCCTGTGTTTTCGTTAGTTGCTGAATGCCATTTATTTCTGAGGAAGTTGTGGTAAGGTAGTACCCCATAAGATTCTTTTCAAACTATAGGGTAGCTTGATCTAAAAATTTAAACCAATTAAGACAAAATCAGTTATAAACATAGAATAAATCGATTTACAAAGTAGCTATTAGTTGGGAGGACGGGTATTCGCAAGTGACATTTAAGCTGTTTTCTCGCACAAACTAGATTATGTACATTGGATGTATTACAACAGGTGGGTAGTTATGTTGTGACACCATGTGTTTTTTCTTTTAAATTTTTACAGAAGATGAAAAGATCATTTTCTGAAGATACAAATCCGGACTATGATGTACTACGTGGATCTACTTCACAATTAGATTCGACTCCACCAATTAGTAAACGTTTAATTTCCGCTGCGTCTGAGCCTATATCATTCGTTCGAATCTCATCCTTGGAAGAACTTGATAAGAAAGCATTGCAGCTTCAAAATAAAAAGCTATGGGAAGCTTTGATGGAACGTCGAGCTGCTATTGCTGAGTTGAAGGAACGTATTGAACACTTGGAAAATCGCCAAACTAAAGATGATGCACTACTTTGTGTTGTCAATCGTTACTGGAATCAGGTGATTTTAACATTAGTATTCTACACAGTTTATTACTGTTAGAGCTGGTGATTTCTCTCTAGATATGTAGGTTTAATCTTACTCCTTACCACACCGAAATGTCTTGTTCATTATAGGCATATTTTTCCTTAAGGTATATAGTCTGCATTAATACACGCAAGAGAAATCTTTACATTTTAATTTACTAGTAATCATTATTCTCATACTAAGCATTTCCGAAAGTAATTCAAAGCAACTAAGATTTATTAGCTTTCTGTCTATTTGTTGTTAACTTGGTCACTTTGAATAAATAGATTTAATGGTTATTAGCGCTGACGTCGCATTTTGTTTAACCTTTATTGTATAACTATGAACTCCGCTTATTGTTATAAATCTTTCTTGTTATTGAGATTTGTATTAGTAAGTTTGATCTTGATAGAACCGATTTCTTCAAGGTTTTAAAGGGTTAGAAAACCAAGGTAAAAGTTGGAATGCTCACTGTATCCCATATAATTTGAAATTCAAGCAACTGACGCGTTATCTGATAATTTATCGTTCGTGCCATAAATGCAAACTGATATTTCATATTCTGAAATCACAAGTGACGTTGAGAATCAGTTTGCTGAAAGTTGTGTGTTCAACGTTACCTAATAAAGAACTTTTATACACATTAGAAACAGTAATTCAGTAAATAGAAGATTTACATCTTGAATTTGGAAATATCGACTTAATTTGCGAATCATTTTATTACGAGTCTGACAGCTGTCTGCCGGTCTTATTTATACGAATAAGGAAATGCAACACAAGTAGGCGAACTATTAAACCTAGTGGGCTCACACCAAGTGGGTATAACTGTGTAAATATGAGGTTCTCCAATATACTATCATTTTATCGCGTATACTTACCATAGATCTTTTAAACGTTGAATGCAAAAAATAACATCAATAAACCTTTCATTGCCAATGATTGTCAGAATGGGACGAGGAGAGTAGTATTCATTTATTTGCATATGGAACAACATTATTTAAACCAAGATATATCATACAAATGTAGAATAAAATAATTGAAGAATACAATCTGACTGTTTTGTTTACTGCTGCAGCAACTAGTGAAATTTAGCAGCTTGAAGCTTATGAACTCACTGATTTTTTACAGTATATCTTTCCTGTAAATCTACATCATGCTCAAATATCATTTATGATTTAATGTAATGATCTATAGTCGTGACAATTTATTTACAGAAATTTAAAAATCTCCGCAATAAATCATTCAAAACTGAAATTCTGTTTTCGTTGATTTTATTAAAATAAGGTGCTAGCTTAGTAGTTGTTAGTTCGGAATTCTTGACAAACGTAATTTTTCAGCTCCGCTTTCTAATATTTAAAATCTAAGTCATTAATAGGATCTTTGTAAAGTACATCGTATACAAGCGATCTATACTATAATCGTTCGTCAAAGTTGACCAGTTATCATTTTATGCACATGCCTACAAAAATGTTCGTAATTGAATAGATGAAGTTCAGAAGGATCTGTTTTTCAAGAGCGAAAAAAGCACTAGGATTGTAGAATCAGATGATTTCGTTGAAAAGAAAATTTCTCCACTGAATCCTCTTGATTTTTATGCATTGACAATGGGTTACTTTAATAGCGCTATTTGTATTTACCTTTTTTAACGATCTAAAAACTACAGGAGTTTTTCTCAGAATTTAAAACTTCTTGAACAGTTTTATACAACTTGGTTGTGTTTGCAACTCCAATTTACCAGTGGTCTCAAGTTTTTTAATTCATACAGAATAAACTGAATTACTAACTAAACACTATCTTTTCGACTTAATTCCTTTTAAAATTGTAGCTAGATGAAGATAGTTTGATCATACTCCAACGTTTTGATTCGGATGCTGAGGAAGAAAGTATGTACTTTTGTTTTGAAATCTTATCTTAACCAGTCTTATAATTAATTTTCAATCAGTTATGTCTGTACTTATGGATATTGTAGATGTTTTAATTTGTCTAGTTCACTGAACAAGTATGGTTCATGTAGAATAATTACTTTAGGCGTTTTACTATAGAGAATAAGAATATTTTAAGTCTGTAATGTTCTCAAAATTTAGGTAAGAGGCTGCTTATTTCCAACTTTTTAGTATTAGTTTCTAGGTAATTGGTCACAGTAATATGAGCTGCCCATTCGATATTACATGCTTTCAGGGATAAACAAATATATTACTGCAAAGGATTTCATGCAAATACATCATTTCACGTTGCTGCACTTTTCATCTGGGAAGAAGAAAATCACAAAGATGTCAAGTTTAATGTAACGAGACCTGAGTTGAGAACAAAAAATACAGGTTGTGGTTAATAAAGCGTTCAACATTCGGAGGACAATATGTAGGTGCTACTTGAGGGGTCTGCATACTTTTACTTGCCTGAAACCAAGAGTCACTGACTGCATGGATTACTAGTGTTTTGTTCTGACCGGTTGTAACAAGAACTAGTTTTATTAGTATTCAAATCGTCATTTTCAGACACAATTAACATAACGTGTAATAACGTTCGTTGCTACTGATTTCCCTTACTCTACTACTTTTTTTCACAAAGCTCTTAAAGTTCCTTTTACCGTAGTATTTCACATATAGCGATATTTGTTCTTTCTTGCAAACTATAGTTATCTCATCTTAGTAGGTACAGCCAATCGTTCGATCTATCTGGTCGCGTTAGACCCTCTTGCATTAGTGATGTTTCTTCAGTTTGCGTGCAAATGTTTTAGAATGAAATCTTGGTCATTGCAACTGGACTGTCAGTAATCTTCAGCACTACGTTAGTCGAGCAATTAATTTTCATTAATATTCCAATAGATGCGAGAATAACAGTCAAATATTTGAGATAGAGTAATATCTTGACGTTCCTACTTTCTCACTATTTAAATTTCTTTCTACGTTTTTCATAGTTTCAACATCTACAGAATCATTTCTTAAACAACTGGCTTCATGGGACAAAGAAGAAGTTCCAGAAAAGCTTCAAGAACGAGTGCATTTTTCCAAGCGTATCATTGCTCGCCTCTTATCTGCCTATGAAAAGCAAGTTCTTTTAATAAGTTGGTATACTTAATCTTAATGTATCATGTTTCTTCATCACTTACCATTCGTTTGATATAATTAATGGAAACAGTTCATATCTTGACGAAATATTCAAGTCATGTTTAGTTTGGTTTACTTTATCTCTATCATCCTATTTTCTTTTGAGTAAAAAGTAGTAATTTTTATACAGTACTGTATGACGTACTGTATTTTATGGAGTTTTCTTTAATCCTTGCATTTCATTTGTACTAACAATATTTTCACACTTTTTTGATCTTTGGAATTTCTTTTTTCAGAATGGTCACCCATCAATTTCGTTTGCGTCAATTACTTGGAAACACTGCGGATGTCTCATCAGCTCCTACTGGATCTGAAAATAGTGATCAAGTTTTACCTAAGCACTCCGATTCATCAGCTCCTTATGACACGCAGAATCCTAATTCTGAAGCTAACAACAATTCAACTGGTTCATCCCAGGAATCTGCTCCAACAACTTGCACTAAAGCTAGTGGAGTAGATTTGCATGAAGAAATAACACTTTTAAACAAGGAAAATCTTCGTCTTCAGACCCTTTGTACTAATTTACATTCCAAACATAGACAGAGCAGTCTTTGCGTATGTACAGGTTTTTCAGTTTTTGTGTTTTTTTGTGTGATTTTAGAAAAAAATCCCATAATTTATTTCTCGAACTTTATGCCTAAAAATAGTCATTTTTCAGTTAGGCGCTTGTTATAAATGCTACTTTTTCATTTTGATGATAAACACATTTCGCGTTGTTAAAGTAATGAATGGAACTATGGTCGATTGATAACACAATGATATGGATTGACTGACTCAAAAGTGTACTATAAATAGTATTATTGTGTGACTCGAAAACACTGGATGCAATACAATGTTCTTGTTGACTCATTCTGAACTTTGTACGTTTGAACATTTTCTATGCCATGTTATCGACAAACACCTTACTTACGCCAGGTTCTGTCCATTCTTTTCATGTCTGCCTCCGGTTCTTGGCTCAGTGTGTTGCTAGATCTGTCTCTTTTTTTTTGGTCTTGAGGACTCCAAGTCGGAGCCTATCTCGCGATGCAGTTCGGGCATTTCACATTGTGTCCTATACAACTCAAGCGTTCTTGTTTAATTCCCTTCCTAGCTAGAAGCTGGTTCGTTCTCAGGCACATTGGGTTGTCTCTGATGCTGCCTGGCTAACGGATCTGGAGTGTCTTGCGCAGACAACTGTATGTAAATACCTGTATGTTTTGAATGATAGTTCTAGTAGTTCTCTTGGTTTCTGCCTTTCCAATAAAAAAGCTATCTTGACTGTGGTTGACAGTTGTTTTGAGTTCCAGATGTTCTTCAGTTGTGGAAGTGCTACTCTTGCTTTTCCAATCCGTCCATTCACGTATACATTACCATTGATATTGCACATGTAGATGAAATTTTCTTCTCCAGAGTTTCTCTATCATGTGCGATCTGGTTGGCGGTTGCCGTGTACCATTTTAGGATCTTGCATTTTCCTTTATGTGTTGAGACCTACTGCTGTTGTGGTTGCTACTACATTGGCTGAATATACCTGAATGTATTCCGGGTTGTGGAATATAGAGGTTAGTTGATCTGCGACGTTCAAATCGTCTAGTTGCACATCTAAACTATTAACTGTGACCCATATTTCCAGTTTGTTGGTACTTTTTGGTTCCCCCGAATCTTTCTGGTTTGAGCGTGGATCGTCGCAGTACTTCTATGTGCGACTTCACTGCCTGAGCTAGTATGCTGTCCGTAAAGTTGCACTGCCACTCTTGCTTTGTTGGATGACCATGCTGACCTCTTTCATTGTTGTTGGGTCGTCATCGTTGAATAGCGACAGTACAAATCCTTGTGTGTGAGAGGCATTTTAATCCTCATAGCGGGAGTACAAAAACATCTCTTCTGAAGCTCATCTTTTTTTTAGCCTGTGTCTAATGGGTTTCACTCATCCCGGGCACTGTCAGGTTTTATCTTCTCGTTACCGTAACACCTTTAATGGTTCTATCGGTGTTATAATTCTTTCTTTATTACAACCCAGCTATTCCTAATGCTTAGTATTCTCAGACACGAATTCATTCTAGACGTTCTCCGAAATCAGAACACGGTTGAACAAGAAATAGATTATATCCCAACAACAAGGTTAAAAGTAAGACAGAAGGTCCAAAGGAAGAAGACGTTAGTACATTTACAGTTTTCTTACATGGGAAGATAACGCAATCATGCTTTATTCCAATCTATGTCCCACTAACAACCGGTCTCTGGATGTATCTGTACTAATTGTTGCTGTGGTTATGAAAGGGAGATTCGGCTTCGTGACTTCCGAAGAAACTCGGCTTTCTTTTTGAGGCGTTGTAACTCTTCTAAATAAAGACTGTCGAACTCACAGGGCAGAATTTAAGTGGTTTAAATTATTTTTTCTGGTTTGCGTTTTTTAGTTTGTTTCCAAAGGTTGCTAACCCTATCAGATGGTGGAGAATGTTTATAGCCTTGATTGATATTATGGTGGAGTTTCATTACGTGAACTGGATGGTTTGATTGTTACTAAACTCTGCCCAATACTTCTTTGTTGAAGTTCGGGACCGGCTGTAACCCTAGAAGTGCTCTGTTATGATGCGCCGTACCGAGATCTGACCTCTCCCAAAACTGGCTGCTTGATGGAGAGGATAAATAACTGGAGAGGAAACATATCTAAGTACCAAACTCTGTGAAAAACTACTCGTGCTTGTATATGTATTCGCTTTCTTAAAAATAAAACGATTCCCTAACCGATGATATACGTTCGTCCTTTGGGACATTTTCTAATGATCATTAACTAACCTCATTAGGTCACTTCTAATTTACCCATTATATCAGGCTCCAGATGGAGCTATGGTTAAACATCTACCATGAAACTATTCAATTATTGGTTTCTTACCTACTTACACCTGCTACCCCCCGTGGAGCACTGGCCTCCGACTAACATTCGCTAACCTACCATGTTCTGGGTTTTCCTCTCCAGTTCTATCCAATTGCTGTTCATGCTTTCCATTTCTGCTCTCAATTTTCTCTGGTCTTCCTCTTCCTGGAGTCTTTCTGAGGTTACTGCCATCCGCAAACCCGAACGAAAGAGGATGGTGGTGCATTTAGCTATGACCCCGTCCCGTCGAAAACTAACTTGATAAAAAAACGCCAACTGTCATAAACGGGTTTAGATATTTTTTAATCACATTTCTTGAAAATAAAGTTCTCTATGTTAGAGCTAGAAAAAGCACAACTTAACATCTTTCGAAAATTTCCGAAATCCTGTCTAAGTTTTAAAAATGTACGAAGCTAATGCTGCGTGAGTCGCTACTCACAAGTTATTAATTTATGACCGACCTTAATTAGTCTTCTCACTGAATCTTCTCATCCTAACCTCTCCGATTACTTCTAATTCCTTTACCACCTCTTCTACTATTGGATTTGAATTGACAATTATATCTCTGTGCTGATGTGGTATGGCACCATGAACTGATGTACTTACGTACGAGGTTCTACGTTGCATCTAACTGACTGACTGACCTATGGATGAGACTGCAAAGTTCAAAAGAAAAGTTTAGAAAGTCAAAACTAGAGGGGTTGAAGAATCCAGGAGATTAGGATTTGAGAGAACACAAAGAATAAAATGCACCGGCGCCATTGCAAACGATTTTGAGCCATGTCATTCAGGGTATCTAACCATCGATTATTATCGTCTCGCGGACCCCAACCAGGTAGTCGACAACTACCGACATGACTCAGTCCACTTGTCAATGACTTTATGGATTTCTGCCATGTTTTGGTTTGGCCGCCCCTAACTTTCTTCCAACCTATTCCTCCACTACAAAACAAAGCTCTTCGAGGCAGTCGGTGGTTAGGCATACGTAACACATGTCCCAACCACCTCAACTGATGAAGTTTCACCACTTCATCTATTGATCTGCCATTCTTACCTAACACCCGATTCCTAATAACAGCGTTGCTCACTCGGGTGTCCCACGATACACGAGCAATGCTTCGAAGACACCTATGATCGAAATCTAATAACCGACGAATATCTTCTACTCTCACTGGCCATGTTTCACAGCCATAAAGTAAGACGGAGCACTCTACTGCTCAGTACACTCGTCCTTTAGTTGGTCATGAATTCGGCCCTGTTTGAAAATTAAAGAAAGACAATAATGTGGTAGCACTTATTTAAAGATGAACGTATGTTATCTATTTTCAATATCTACCTGATGCAGTTATATGCAAGCAGATCAGAAAATGGCTAAAAACGGTTGATTTATGAAGTTGTCAAGCGTTTGTCTTGATGAATCTTTTGTTCGTGTCATTGCTTTCAGACCTTAGTCCAGTCACACTGTCACAGTCACAAATATCATACGCTCGTGTAGTTTTGGTGATAAACACCAATCATTACTTATCATTCTTTCATCCGATCTCTTAGCTTTTCACTGTAATTCATTCCAGTATTTCTATACTTTTCAATTCTTGGTAATTCTATTTTGCAATAATAGATATTTACACCGTCTTCTTTAAAAATTGGTGAATTAGAAATCGCTAGGAACTTTTGGTGTTGATGTGGATTTATTATACTTACTTTTAATCATTACTTGTATAATGGTTATATTTTTAGCTTCGTGAATTGCAAGACTTAGCTCAGACTAACAGTGATGCTTCGGCAGAATGGCAAGCTAAATATGAGGATTTAGACTATAAACTTACGGAAGCGATGAAACAAGTTACACGTTTGGATCATCGTCTGTATGAAGCTCAGGAAAAGAATAAGAAAATGGAAGTTGAATTATCAGCTCTTAAATGCTCAGATTCTCCAGGTATATTATATTGGGTTAGGGTTTTATATTTTTCTACTACCTGTAGCTGGTTCCTCTGTTTATTGTCCCCGGTTGCTATTCAAATTATTCAACATTAAGCGTGTACTTAGGTGTCAAGTCTTCTGACAGTTTCACTTGTATAAAATCTATTAAGTTTCTGTTTTCCGTGTTTCTGATAATAATGGGCGCATAGGTATATATAAATAACCACGACAAGGACAGTGCATTTATGCTATGAACTGATAATATTACTTGACAGGACCGAAGGGAAATGCTTTTTAATGCTTGTTTGAGAAATTAATAACTAGATTATTGATGTGCATTTTCAATACATCCGTCGAGTAAAAACTTGGTGTGTGAGGTCTTAATGACAACGATTTTCAAAAATCCTTTCTTAAGAAAAGTAAGCATGACAGCCAATTTTCAAGCTGTTTTGAATTGTTTTACGACCGTAGCTGCTTCCTACCTTGACATGGTGATAGAGCGTGCCTATCCTGATGACCGAATTGAGCTATATTGACTGGAATGCCCAACCACCGCCTGCCTTGACGAGCCATGTTGTCTGACGTAAGGGTAGGTTGAAAGAAAGCTAGGGGCGGCCAAACGAAAACATAGCACACATCCATGAAGTCATTGACAACTGGACTGAGACATGCGACGTGTAGACTACCCGGTATCCGGTGGTTAGAGACTTTGAATGACATGGCTCAAAATCGTTTACAATTGCTCAGATGCATCCATTCTTTGGCTTCTAAAATTCTAATCTTCTGAATTCCTCAAGATCCTTATCTTTCTACTTTAAAGTTATTTCACTTGATTATACTTGAATGGTTTTTTCGATCCCTGATCTTTTCCATCACCGCTAATACTTTCACCATCCCAATTACTATGGGATTTAAACTGACGATTTAATCTCTCTATGCTAATGTGGTGTGTCTGATAAACATTCTCTTGTCCTTGTAGGTCGTGAAGATCCTTCAGGTGTTGATGGGTCAGTTACACGAAATAAATATAATGACTTGGCTTGTGAACTGGAAGAGTACCGGGAGTTGGCAAATAATCGTGTAAATGAGTTAGAGCGCCTTCAACGTCACTTGGAAGACAAAGTTGCAGAGTGTGCCTCACTGAATATGCAAGTTAGTTTTGACTGTTTTTAACTTTCTTGATCTCACTGTTATTAACATCAATATAATTAAGGTTATTTTAATCAACTGGATGGTGTAGCCATGGAATCGCCAGTGAGTCTTCTACTGACAGATATTTGTACTTCAGGACTAGAGGATGAAACTCCTGAAGACAATCATTTTTTCTAACGTCCTACTGTTACTATATAGTTGATACTTCTATAGTGTTAACAGAAAAACGTGCGAAGGATAATTTACTCAATATATTTAATAATATTCATCCGTTTATTACATTTACACTGGAGAAAGAACGGAGTGATAGGATATCGTTTCTAGATGACCAACTAACTAAATGAGTGAATGGAGCATTAAAGAAGAGAGATACATTGAAAACATGCAGTTGGACAATCTACTCATATCCGCAGTGCTGTGCCAATTAGATGTAAAACGCTGGTGGCACCATTGAAGATGAATTGAGCTATATTTGTAACCTGTTTAGTAGGAATGGATATCCAGTGACATTTATCAACAAACGCATGAATGAACTGAAAACAAGACCGAAGGCAACTACCGTTCTGACAAAGGGACTGTTTTTAAAATTACAATTCGTGAATGGTGCAAGGGAAGAAATTGCGTCTCAAAGGTTAATAAATGTGTTGCAGAAAACTTTCACTGAAGCCAAACTGTATGAGGTATTCTAGAATCTATCCATAATAAAAGCCATCAATAAAGACAGACTACCTGAATCGGTCACATCCATATTCATTTATCAACTCAACTGCTCGTATGAAGCAAGTTATGTAGGGCGTACAATTTGGCAGGTCCGTCATTGCATGGCGGAACACCATTCATCTTGAACGAAAGATAGGTAAGAGTGACTAAGTTTTCTATTCTCGCACACTGTTTGTTAATTCATCTTAAATATTATGTAATGTAGTGAATATTTAGTCGAATTTTCCTAATGATTAGTTTTTTTTATTATCCCCTTCCTAATTACTCCATACTACTGTATTATTTCCGTGACGTCAACATATAACTACTGCGTTACGCAACTGCTCGATGAATATTCTCTCATCTATATAATATATGTATATAAATTCGTTATTTCAATCGGAAATTTTGATCATTAGTAAGCAGTTGCACTGAACTTCTGAATCCCTCATCACCTCTCTCTTTTTCTTTCTAAATTTACCTCACTCAATTATACTTCTTGTATAACATCTTCGAACCCTAATCTCTCCGATTACTTCTAATACTTTTACTACCTCTACTACTATGAGATTTGAATTGACAATTATATCTCTGTGCTAATGTGGTATGGCAACTTGAACTGATATGCAAAGTTCTACGTTGCTGTTGATGATGATGATGTAAAATTGAACTAATATTTTCGTTTCAAGATGCACTATTGTTTATGTCTTACCTTGGTTAACAAGTGTGACCCCTAATTGTTATTTTATCTTTTAGATTAGTGTGTATATCCTAATACATTAAATAGTTCAAATCTTAAATTTTTTACCTTCATAATTTTTTATTTACATATTTTTATTTACTAGTTGCGAGATATTCCCGAGCATATTATTACAGAATCTCCTCAATATCTATCCTTAAAAACTCAATTCAATATTCTCTATAATGAAGCTATTCAGCTAAGAAGTCAGCTCGAAGAAGCTAGAAGTACCATTCAGAATAACAGACACAGTCATCTAAAACAAATAGAAGAGATGGAGGTGCGTCCTATAACTATTTTATTTTTCGGTTGTCTCCACATAAATGTGCTTTTTTGGGGATCGGTTGCCTAGTTACTAGGCCTTTCAACTTTTAACTACTGAGTCCCAGGATCGAATTCACTCCATCTACTTCGGTTTGGCTTACCGGGTAGTATCATTATCAATTATACGTAGAATGTAGCTCATACCCAAGTAACCTGGTAAATGAGTTAATTGGATATTTTTTATGTGGTCCTATTAATTACTGTTTATGTTCTTTAACTGTCATATAAACACATGACAAAAAGTCTTAGTATTTTCATCACAGTCATCTGTATAAACGTACATTAATCAATATTGTGAATACTTTCATAAAAGCAAACCCCAATCGTCAATTGAATGTTGTTTCACTTTGGAAATAGTTCGCTTCTGGTTGATTAGTTTTTATATGTTCCATCTTTTAGACTAAGATTCCAGTTAAGCAAACTAACCAAAAGTATTCATTGTACAAGTATGTTATTATTACGTTTACCTATATTGAGTCAGTATATCTGGTGTATTCCTTTAGTAATTATGTACATATGCGTCTTACACATTTAGTAAATGTTTCCTGCCTTTAGAATTTGTTAGTTTAGCATATCTACATATCCCTAAAAGTGCGTACGTAAATATCATAATTTTGACTGTCTAAAATTATATATATATATATATATCCTATAACCATGAATTAGTTTTGTGATAGTTTAAAATTCATTTGACTGTTATTTGCATATCTTTACATATTTAGGGTTAAATCAGAACTTCTTATTACTGGAAATTAGTAGCTTGATAAATCCATAGTGAAATTTGCAAGTTTTTTTTGCAGAAAATATTCTGAAAATTATCCAATATTTACACATTTCACAGGAAATTACCGGTTAAAGGACATTTATCATTAGGATTTGTCTAAAAAACTAGACCACGTTATTTTTCCTGTAAAATTTCATTATGTCCTCCTGTCACATGTGTAGCAGCCCACCTATCACAGCCAATCACTTTTGCTTCACAAGGTTTGACAACAGAAGTCAAGTCCATCGAGATGCTGCAACAGGAAGCTCTTGCAGGGGCCGTGCCTGGTGACTTTGTCGGATTCAACCTTGAAGAATGTTTCAGTCAAGCAAACATTTGCTGGTGATCTCGAGAATGACAAGAACGAACCTCTATAAATATCGACTTTCTTCCCAGCTAGAAATGCATCTAGTGACTCAAATTCTTAAACCGATTTATCAGTAGAGAACTTCATATCATCTTTTACTCAATTTTCAAATAGCGCCTTGTTCAGCCAGCGTACAATAATATCATTTCTAAAGTAAATACCTTTGCTCTAAACATCATGTCTTTTATTAGCTCAAAACTATCGTACTATTTGATTCAGAAACTATTCACAAATTAGGTTTATGATAAATAACGCAATCGTGTCAGTCATTAGTCGTTTATTAATATTGATTTTTTGTACCACGATCTCTGCTACGATGACTAATCTTCAATGGTCTCTCAATTTCAAAAAAATCAATCTTTTTTTATCGGCTTATAAAATACCCTAGTCCGTTTCTTGAATATTCAAGTAGTAGTTGTAAATCTCAAGTTACTCAACGTCTTTATGTATCTTGGACATACAGTCCAGTGGACAAAATTCTATAAGATTGTATGTTTTTTTTAATTATTAGTTGGGTTGTTAATGTACAATTCTTTTGTAATAGGCAAATGAAGCAGCTATACAGAATCAGATGCGATCTGAAATGCTTCTTATTGAAGGACAATACTCTCAACTAAGACACAAATATGAAACCATGGAATTAGATTTTAAACAAGCATTGACACATAATGAACAGGCTGGTCCTATCAGTTGCGAAATGCGTAGTCTAATTTCTACACTGCAAACACAAAACAAACAATTGAAAGCTGAAGTGGCCCGTTATCGTAGAAAATGCGAGGAAACTGTACAAGAACGTGAAATGGTCAGTTTCTTATTTACTTACTTATTTCAAGTGTATTTTTAACCCATATACTTTCGTTTTAACTATACTATAGGTGAAATATCAGCCCAGTGATATTTAAGTTTTTATTTGTCAAGTTACGGTTCATTAGGTATGATTTCTCAAACAATGGTTTCAGTATGACTCTCTGAATAATTTCTAAATAACATTAGTAAATAGAGTTGTAGTTGAGATTAATATACTCAGATATTATGCTATGTTCAATTTCCAATCTTCCTTTCTCTATGCTTAGATACGTGCTGATTTGAAATGTACAGAGGATGAGTTGGTTCATGTTCGTACGGCACTATCAGAGGCAACTGCAGCAGTTATTGCTGCATGTGAAAAATCAGATCGATCCACTCCATCCACTCCACAAAGCTCAATTATACCTCAGACTTCAACAGTAACAGTGTCAGATGTAAGCATTCGTTTTTAGTATGAGTTTCTTTTTGAAAAAAAAGAGAGCAACAATGTTTGTTAACAAACAAGAGTTTAGTATTTCATGTAAATATTTAGCATGGTAAATTCACATTTCACTTCAATTTGATTACACGTTGCGTCATAGAATATAAAGTAATCTCTGTTACTATTTTAAGTAAGTATATGTTTCATATTTCTTCAGATTCACATTAATAATGTATCAGTGTAATATAATATCTACTAATGATTTCTTTTTTTCTTATTAAGGTTGGATCACCAATTGTTGATTCAGAATTAAAATCAAAAAATTCAACTCCCATGAAAGTAGAAGAAAGTGTTAAGTATAGTTCTCCAAGTTCATCTACTGCTCGATCTAGCACAATTACCACATTAGCAAGCCCTCAAGTTAATGGTAGTGTTCCTGAAAAAGTTGTAAAAACGGTAAGTTTTTTAATTAATCAGAAATAATTTCTGACAGTTAAAGTTTAAACATTTCTAAATCAGGTTAGTGTGTTTGTAATATCTTATCAAGTAAAAAAAAGTTGAATTTCGGACATTTTACGACTTAGCTTAAGTTTTTTACTTTAAAACAATCATACAAGCTTAAATCTTAAAGGAATTAATTAAACCCAAATATTTTTTATGTACATATAAGTAAATTCAACATACTGTTGTGTTTCATTTAGATGATTTTCTGTGTAGTCCTGCGCCTCGTTATACTTGAATGAATGTTAGACTGCCAGTGTTACTGATCCAGTTGGTGTTTGTCTGTTGTGCTCAACGTAGAGCCTACCACAAATACACATTGGCTCAAGTTGGTCTGTTAAATCAGGATGTAGTAAGAGTTCTTGCCTAAAATGAAGTGTTGCAGCATACTCTGTATGCACTTAGCGAAGTCTTGATACTAAATGAATGATTTTTATTGATTGGAAAGATTTTCAGCTCAGGTAGTCATTTTTGATGATATTGTTTTCTGTGAGATGTGAGCACAAGGATACTACTTAAATACCTCTGTATTATATCTTTTTTGTGAGCTTGAATGTTTTTTTAGCGCGTTAGGATTTTACCAGAAGACTTCAATACAAAAATGTATCACAATGAACATAACTTATTCATTAAATCACTAACTACATGTTGATATGAGTTTAATTTTGTCTTCAAAATTAACAATTTCGAGGCGTATTTCTTGTTCACAAAAAGTTTTAGTACCATTTTATTTTATGATTTGTTGTAGTTTGTTAGTGCGGTAAAACTAAATTGTCAGCCTGAAATTTCCTTCCAGATTAGTTTCAGTCACTAAACATCGGGTTTTCGTTCAGTTTAGTAGTGCTATTCGACCATCTAGTTTTCGTAAAACTATTTTAACTGTTCATATTTTAGCATTTTCATTTTCTCATTTATGTTTACTACAATTTTGCCAAATTTGGCAGTCCAAATTTTATTACAATTTATTACTGAATAAAAGATTTCAAATATCCACATCCTCTTTGTTTGTATTTTAGGAATCTACTCCCGATTCTCGTTGTAATGCTTCATGTTCTTCACCGTCCAATGAACTTATTCGTGATTTAAAGGAACAACTAAAGTAAGTTAGTTTCCTGTAGTAGTTTCTTACTCTTACTCTTCGATTAAGTACGAATTTACACTGATATTGTTTTTTTTATTTTAGGCGTTCACAAGAATCACAAAAAGAAATGTCTGTACTACTCAATATGTATAAAGTTATTCCAAAAGATCAAAGAGATAAGGCAGCACTTCTTCAATGTGAAGCAAAGCTTCGAGGTGAACTTACTGATGCTAAAAATGAGATCGATAAACTAAATGCAACTATCAGAGACCTTCAATCGCAACAAACAAAGATGCAACAGCAGCGGAAATCAGCATTAACATCTCCTATCGAACTCAATTTAAAAATGTCACCTGCTGAACGCTCTCTCACTACTCATGGAAGTATTCCACAATCTCCTTCGAAATCGTGTAAGATTGGATTGGTTTCTCCTGACGAGAAAGCATCCAGTGTATCTGGATATCCGCCGATCACTTCTTGTGGGAAATCTAAAATTTCTGCTTCTGATTGGCAAATATCAGAGTTACAAATGGAACTATACATAGTTAGACGTAAAAGTCAGTCTATTGAAGAGCAGTTAAAACTTCACCAACAACGTCTTGTAGCAGCCAAACAACAAGAGGATGTACTATTAAAGGAAATGGAAGTAAGTTTCACCTTTGTTTATATTTTTGTTATACTTGCTTCATGATATGTTCCAGTTTATTGAAACTTGCGTTATTAGGACAAAGTTGAAATTGGAATCTACCTACAGTGTTATTGTATATAGACATTCGTAATTAACTTGGAAAATTGTCACTCATCCATCACCTTAATTTTGAGATAACTAGTTTCCATACTCTTTTCACATTTCTTTCATTATTGCTTAACAATATCCATATCATTATATTTTTCCTACTCTATAAAGATTACTGTCCAAGCGTTTGAAGATGCACAAGAACAAAATGTTCGCCTTGTTAAAACATTACGAGAAAAAGATGATGCACATTTAAAGTTAATGGCAGAACGAATGAAAACTGCTCAATTGGCGCGTTTATTGAAAGAAGACAAACAACTTTTAGAAGAACAAATACGTTTGATGCAAGCAAAGATTGAAGCATTAAATCGTGCAGTTCTAAAGCAGGAAGAGAAAGTAAGCTGAAAGTTTTTTTGAATTTTTAATGTTTTTTTTAATAAAGTAAATTTTGAATACCAATTGTTTTGACATTCTGTTCTTGTAAGTGACTCAGACTAGATCAATGATCTCGTAAAATAGTACTTCTAAAATATAGTCTTTTCTTGTTTTTTTTACATTTGTGTTGAATTATCTTCATTGCATCACAGAACTAGCCCAGTTACACTTTCTGTACTAAAAATCCTGTCTGTAGGATATATTTTAATGTTTTCTTTTTGAATAACGTTAACGTAAGTGTTATAATTGTCTCTTAGTAAACCCAGCTATTCCTATTGCTTAGTATTCTTTGACAAAAATACACTCGACAAGTTCCCAAATCAGAACACATTTGAACTGTGAAGAGATTATATTCTAAATAGCAAGGTTAAATCGAAGTAAGAAGCAAAAGCGAAGGCGATATAGGAACAACATGAGAAGCTTCTGGAGTGTACTCCAAGTATCGACTAGCTCTGACCGGATTAGATTTAGTAGCTAACGCAGTCTTGCTTTAATTCATCTTTGTCCCGCTAACAGTAAGTATGTAGCGTGTCAATTTTGTTGCGTGTTCTTAAGCTCGGTAATTAGCTCGTCCAGACAATCATTACTAACTAGCGTCTGACGGTTTATAAATCAGAAGGGGAACACAAAGTGTTGAATACGTTTATTTTTGACACACTACAAAGCGAAGCAGAGAAGCAGTGAATAAAACTAATGAAGCGACTTGAATTGGAGAAGCGCGTTGGAGAAGGCTAATGAGCCAACTCACGGAGATAGAGCGTGACTAAGAATATATAGTCAGACCAATATAAGACAGGCATGTGACAAGCGAAATAGGTATGAATAAAAGCGACGAATGGTTGACAAGTGGGACACGTCATGTGAGCTCATACAAACCAGACAATAATAAGAACGAATGGTACATATAAATTGTTGCAATACAAATGACTTGGTTAAATAAATTAATCGAAAGGGCTTAACCAAGTTAGATGTAAGCGAACTGGATTATATGTGGAGGCACTACAAGTATTTGGAGTTCACTACCGAACTTAAATCCTCATATTAAAGGTGTTTAAAGTTATTTCGTATCATAGTACTGTATATGACTGTCATAGAATGATAACCTGATGTAACATCTCTATTATTGATTATTATTCCTTACCATACTACAGATAATATTTTTTCTTAGTCAATTTCCATAGTTGGACTCAAACTTTATTTATGTAGAGAAACAACCAAGGTTTGCAAGACTAATTCTCACCTTTTAAGCTGAGTAATGTATGACTTCACTAATTCACACATTCACTATCGATTGTTATTTAACTGTACAGAAAATATTTGATAATTTTCGCGGAACGTTAGAAAACCGGTCTATTCAAAGTATAGTTTTTAACCAATTGCAATCAGAAACAGAAACATCTGTTCTTTAGCATAGTTTTGTACATTATGTTTGCTTTCTTTGTAGGAACGTTTATTATTAACGAATTTAGCAACTTTAGAAAAAGAGGCATCAGCTAGACAAAAGTCACAAGAAGCCTATAAACGAAAAGCTCTGGAAAGTCAACAAGTCTCTGAAGATTTAAGAGTTACTGTTCAAAAGTATCAAAGTCAACTAAAAGATGCCCAAACTACTGTTCAAGAGAAAGCCTCCGCTTTTGAACGCGTTTCTTTTAGTCATCAACGTTTACAAGTTAGTTTTTAATCTACTGAAAAATTATTTATTAATAATCTTTATGACTTTTTGAAATTAGCATGATAATGATAATAATGATATTTGTACTTTTCCATAGTTCACAATTAGATCGATACTGTTTAGTGTATAGCATACACTTTTATTGTTATTATGTCAATAACTAAATATATATATATATATATATATATATATATATATATATATATATATGCTGTTTTGTATTGAGATACAGAACAAAATCCATTTGCGTATTACATTATATGTCAAAGTTCTGATTATTTTGATGGTATGGTTATTTATTATGAATGCTGAATAAACTGCTACTTACTACTTGTTCAACAGAACAAAACTGATATGGCTCAGTGGAAAAATGCACGACTATTGATGATAAAATTACCGATCCACAACTAATCCATATGACATCAAAATTTACAATACAATCTATGTAATCTTAAGTGTACTTACTACAGACAAACAACTTAACTTACGCCTGTTACACCTAATGGAGCATAGGCCGCCGACCAGTTTTCTCCAACCAACTCTGTCCTAGGCTTCCCTTTCCAGTTCTGTTCAATGTTTGTTCATCACACGACGTCATAATTCTTCTTCCAACCCCCAGGGCAAAGTTAAAATGGTTTGAATTATTTTTTCCTGGTTAGCGTTTTTTTGGCAAGTTAGTTTTTGACGGGATGGGATCGCCAACCCCATGCCCAACCCTCCTCCTTTATCCGGGCTTGGGACCGGCAGTAGTCAAGAAGGTTCTACTGGCGGAGTTACAGACAAACAAGTAAACGATTAAATATGAAAGTCAATCTTTGATCACCCGTACACATGCTAATCAAACAAGACATTAGCTATCATACAACGATCTAATCGCATTATTACGTTTCATTCATTCATTCATTCATTCATTGTCGTTTCTCAAAATGTTTTTAACATTTTTCAAGATTAAAAATTCCCATCCATAATGAAGATATTCATCATCAGTTCATCAGTTTTATTGAAGTTGAACTTGGTGTTTCTTTCCATTGATTACTTTTTGAGATGGTTGTGAAACATGGCCGTTAAGAGTAGATGTTCGTAGGTTACTAGTATTCGATCATAGATGTTTAAGAAGCATTGCTCGTATACCGTGGGACAACCGAGTAAGCAATGCTGTCGTTAGGAAACGAGTACTAGGTAAGGATGGCAGATCAATAGATGAAGTATTGAAACTTCATCAGTTGAGGTGGTTGGGACATGTGTTACGTATGCCTAACCACCGACTGCCTCGATGAGCTATGTTTTGTGGTGTAGGAGTAGGTTGGAAGAAAGCTAGGGGCGGCCAGACCAAAACATGGCACAAATCCATGAAGTCACTGACAAGTGGACTGAGTCATGTCGGTAGATGTAGGCTACCTGGTTGGGGTCCGCGAGATGAAAGTCACCAATGGTTAGAGACCTTGAATGACGTGGCTCAAAATCGTTTGCAATGCTGCAAGTGCATCCATTCGTTGTGCCCTCTCAAATCCTAATCTTCTCGATTCGTCAACACCTCTACCTTTGTCTTTCTAACCTTAACTCACTGAATTGTACTTCCTGAATAATATCTTCGAACCCTAGTCTTCTTCATTACCAATAATACCTCTACTACCTTTATCACTATGAGATTTGATTTGACATTTGCATCTCTGTGCTAATATGGTATTGCAACCTGAACTTATGTACATACGTACGAAGTTCTACGTTGCAACTGACTGACTGACTTTTGATATGGTTATTTTCTAACGGAGAATTCTAATTGTGATCGAATTATACACAATGATTAGTTAAGAATGCAAACAATATGTGTCATATATATATTTTAGGAAGAACTTGTTACTGTGCGTAGAAAATATGAACGATTACGCAAGATTGAACAGTCGCATAATGCTGATGAGTTTTTACTGGCTGAAATTCAAGATTATAAGGTATGTTGTTCTAAAAAACTATTCGTCTTTTTATTGCTCCTAATTTGGTTACGATTTGTAGCCAGGCTCCAAAAGCATACACTGTATAAATATCGTTTTTTTGAAGTGCAAAATCTACTGCTTAGTTTTGTGTTATGCTTATTCTAGATGTCATGTAAACTTGTGATTTTTCGAGATCATGTTAGTGTTTCACTAGATTTGCAATAATAACAGTTGGGGACGTTAGATCCCCAGAACTCAGTTGGAAAAGGTCCCAATTTTGTAATTTTATTCTAAATTTTTGAATTTTCACGCCAGAGATGCTAGGTTGACCTTTAGCTTACGTTTCCCACTGAGAAAATCCTTGACTGCCATTGGTTGGTGGATTATTTTAGTACGCTATTTTGTGGCTCTCCCAAGGACGTTTGTGTCAGCGTATAAATAGGCTTGAGTTGTGTGCTTATGAACATCGTACTTTCTGGGTGCCTGCGATTTCATTCTCTACGCCTTATCAAGACTTCTTACTCTAGTTAGCGGGTCCTGGGCCAATCGCATTAGAATAGCCCATCGTGCCACTGCATCGTTTATCTTCGTTCCGTTTGCAGAGTAAGGTGAACTCGTAATAGCTGCAAGCATGTCATAGCTTTAAATATGATTTAGTACTATTTTCATCTTTGTATTTTAATCCGCAACTTTTTATCAATTTTAGGAACAACTTACATGTCCAACATGTAAAGTTAACAGAAAAGATGCTATTCTAACTAAGTGTTTTCATGTGTTCTGTTTGAATTGTTTAAAAGTTCGATATGAAACACGTAATCGTAAATGTCCAAAGTGCAATGCAACATTTGGTGCCAACGATTATCATCGTATATATCTTACTTGATCTCTTCAAATTAACAGATTTATTTTTCTGTGCTTTTCTAATAAAAATCTCTTCTATTCATTTCTTCTAGTAAATGTATATAATATTGACTATGCAAATCTTTCAGTATATTTTGTAAATAATTTCCAATTCGATGATTAATAAATAGTATAAATTTTTATGACTTTCTTTATCCCTTCAGTTTAGTCATGTATTTCTGAGAATCCGATTCGGTAAATAGTTGTTATTCACATGAAATAAACGCAACAGTTAAATAGATGATCAGCTGTAACCTCTATTCACATTATTCTAAACTGCTTAATTATGGTTAGTGTAATATAAGTCTTACTATGTCTACCTTCAGCTATCTTTGAAATAGTTCATGAGGTTTTGGACATCTTTTTTCTTTGGTTAGTAAAAGCACTCTAGATATCTGCACCTGAACTAGTGATAGGGAGTGAAGTAGTCGAACGTGTAGACCGCTCCACGTATCTGGGGAGTCTCATCAGTGCTGATGGCCTGGTGACTGACGAAATCTCAGCACGGATACAGAAAACTCTATTGGCTTTTGCCAACCTGCGTCACTTGTGGCGTAGGCGTGATATCCGTTCTCTAACCAAAGGACGAGTGTACTGAGCAGTAGTTCGCTCCGTCTTACTTTATGGCTGTGAAACATGGTTTTCGATCATAGGTGTCTTGGAAGCATTGCTCGTATATCGTGGGACACCCGAGTGAGCAACGTTGTTATTAGGAAACGGGTGTTAGGTAAGAATGACAGATCAATAGATGAAGTGGTGAAACTTCATCAGTTGAGGTGGTTGGGACATGTGTTACGTATGGCTAACCACCGACTGCCTCGAAGAGCTTTGTTTTGTTGTGTAGGAATAGGTTGGAAGAAAGTTAGGGGCGGCTAAACGAAAACATGGCAGAAATCCATGAAGTCATTGACGAGTGGACTGAACCATATTGGTAATTGTCGACTACCTGGTTAGAGTCCGCGAGATGATAATAATCGATGGTTAGAGACCTTGAATGACATGGCTCAAAATCGTTTGCAATGGCGCCGGTGCATTTATTCTTTATGTTCTCTCAAATCCTAATCTTCTGGATTCTTCAACCCCTCTAGTTTTGACTTTCTAAACTTTTCTCACTGAATCCTACTTCTTGAAGAATATCTTCTAATCCTAACCTCTCCGATTACATTTAATATTTTTACAACCTCTTCTACTATTGGATTTGAATTGACAATTATATCTCTGTGCTGATGTGGTATGGCGACATGAACTGATGTACTTACGTACGAAGTTCTCCGTTGCATCTGACTGACTGACTCTAGATATCTATTTATCATCGGGCAATAAACATTCGGTGATATTTAACCTAGTGTATCGTCACTTACAGTTTTATTAAGTTATAAATTGGATTGTTTTATTGCAATTTTGATTTCATGTTAAGTAAAATTAGGCTACTGCAGCCAAGGAGATGCTAATAACAAGAAAGGGAATCTAAAATCGATCAAGGAGATTGTACAAAGAACGAAAACATTATTATACATATAGTGTGGAATTGTAACTCAGTAGTTAAAGCGTTTGTGTTGGAAACGCTCTCCACTGACTTCTGTTGAGTCACCGAACTAATATCAATGCTGTTCTCATGTAAAACAATTTTTCAAAGCTGAGTACATGAACATATTGTGTCTTGTAGACAAACATGTATGCTATTTACACTATTTTTGAAAATCAACTAATAACTAAGTTGGATGGTCAATCACACATGCGGTTTTATAGTTACTGGCTCGCTAATTGGCTCTGAAAGGTAAATTAAAATAAATTCAGTCAGTCAGTCCGCTACAATCTAGAACTTCGTATGTACGTACATCAGTTCAAGTCGCCATACCATATTAACTCAAAGAAATCTAATTGTCAATCCAAATCCCATAATGGCAGTAGTAGAAGCATTCGCGGGTATGGAAAATATCATTCAAGAAGTAAATCTCAGAGGAGTCAATTTAACAAAAAGAAAAAAACACGGTTATGATGAATTCAGAAGATTAAAATTTGATAGAAGACCAAGGATCGACGCAGTGCACTATTCATTCAAAGTCTTGGTTATTATCATCTCGCTGAGCTGAACCTGGTAGTCCACACCTACCAGCATGGTTCAGTCCACTTGTCAATGACTTCATGGATTTGTGCGATGTTTTAGTCTGGCCGCCCGTAGCTTTCTTCCCGCATACCCCTACACCAGGTATCGTTCAACTGAGGAAGTTTCACTACTTCATCTGTTGATCTTCCCTCCTTACTTGATACCCTTTTCCTAAAAACAGCATTGCTTACTCACTTGCCCTAGGATATACGATCAATGCTTTGAAGACACTTATGATCGGATACTAATAGCCTACAAATATCCTCTGCACTTACTGGCCATGTTTCACACCCATTTAGTAGGATGAAGCGACTTGCTGTGCAGTAGACTTGTCATTTTGCATGTTTTCAAGGTAATTTTAACAAAATGTCTTATAAGTTATGTTGCCATCTTTTCATTGATTGCTATTGCCTTTAGTAAGAAAGCTCTTTCATATGGACGTATCACTTATGTAACTCATCCATATTGCTGTTAATTTCAATTAATTTGTAATCTGTTTATTAACTTATCTAGTATTTGTTCTTTATTCTTTTGAAAGAAGATAGATACTATTTTAAGTTACCAATTTCGATATGTAACTTTGATTTGTCGAAGGTGAACTGATAAGAATTGTACAAATTATTAAGTTCAATGCATTTTTACTCAAATAAATTTTATTAATGAAATGTTATTCAGGAAATAGATTTACATTTGAATCAATTATGTGCGAAGTTTATTGTTTCTTAATGATTACTATTTTTAAATTGTGTAGGTCTTATTCATCATCTACTACTAGTTTGTTTTTTTTCTTTTCACGTCATTATTCACAAAAAAAGAAAAAACTAATTAAAAGTTTGTAAATATATTCAACTTGTAACAATCTATTTTAATGTATGATGGATGAAAGCGTTTATGTACAGAGGAGATCTACTATTTGTCCAGATATTTTGTTCAGAAATATATCTGAATTTTTTTCATTTTACCTTCCAATTATTTATTCTTTTCAATATCGATTTGATGAATTAATATTTACACATTTGAAATCATCAATCAATCAATCATTGTTAGACTACCAGTAGAAACCTGGAAGCACTGAACGACGGCCGTTTCGTCTTGGTATGGGACCAGGGTATGGTCCACCAGGGTATCAGGTACTTGTGTGGTTGCACCACGGGATCGAGCCGAACTGTTCATGTCATAACGCTAACACGTGAGTAGTCTCCCTGGTTCTCCTGGAAACCAATGTAAAAATTCCCTTGACAATAGACGGTCAATTTAAATAATAATAATTGGACTCAACAGCAGTGTGTATCCACGACTTCGCACCTCGCAGGATTCGAACCTAGGACATTCGGTCTTGCGCGGGAACACCCATACCAGGACGACACGACCGTCTTTCAGCGCTTCCAGGTATCTAATTTTGGTCTAACAAGGATTATTGATGATTTCAAATGTGTAAAAACACTAATCTTCATAACTCTAATTGAGAATTATTATCCGTCAGAATTTTATGCAGTTTACGAATTTGTATATAACTCTGAATGAGATCTGTTATTTTTCAAAGAAAGGAAAAAAAGACATCTAAATTTTCGTATCTACATTTGTAATGATTGGTGTAAAAGATAAGCAGTATATATAAATTTTTTTTTGTGACCACAACATTGATTCAACGAGAGTAGATCTAATGATAAAAAAAAACTCAATCATCAGATACTATTGTAGTGAACGAGAACACAGGTGGGACAACCGAATTGTATTTAACGAAAATTACAGAGTTACTCAGTAAAATAGCAAAACCATATCGTAAATCGTTAATTTGCAAAATATCAGTCCATCATATCGAAGTGGACTGTACCTGTTGCAAAACATCGATCCATTGTCACTATTCATGCGTTTCATACACATTCCATTGTGTTCTAACTCTTCCTTTCTTGATCTTCCCCCATCTTCTGCTGCCAGACATTACGTTGACATTCACGTTATATACTACTTATAAGTAGCTCACACCACACTATGACAGTGGTATTTTGTGTACAGTATCAATTTGTACTTTATAAATAGCTCTTGAGAATACGATATATATCTATAGTTTCATCATTGTGAAAGGCAAATTAAGTTGTTTCATCATGTTCAAACAATATTTACCGATAAAAAACCTGATTCATTTGACTGTATTGATGTTTTTCCGGGAAACCATGTACTTATGTAGTGAAGGAGAACACAGGTGAGGGCAACCGAATTGTATTTAACGAAAATTACAGAGTTACTCAGTAAAATAGGAAAACCATATCGTAAACGGTTAATTTGCAAATCTTCAATCCATCATCAATTCATTGTCTGACATTTCACTTATTCATGTGTTTCATACAAATTCCATTGTGTTCCCACTCTTCCTTTCTTAATCTTCCCCCATATTCTGCTGCCAGATATTACGTTTTCACTCACGTTATATACTACTTATAAGTAGCGCGCACCACACTTAGACATAAAAATGACCATTTCTCATTTGACTATGATAAACATTACTACTAGATTGATTGTAAGTTCCAATTGTGCTTCACGTAGTACACAGTTGTTTGTTGTTCGATAGTCGTCACACTAGCAAACTATTTGCTTCAAATTCAAGTATATAATAAGACTGACTATATTAGGTAAAAATGAGTTGTAAGAAAAGTGTTTTTTTTTTATAAAAAGAAAAATATGCAACGAAAACCTACGTTTAATTATAGTGACAATAATAATAATTGAATTAAAGATAATAATAATAATAAGTGTTTAATTAAAACAACTAATGCCAATGAGAAAAAATAATGAACTGTAAATTTAATTCTTTAAATCTAGAGGCGATTAGAGAATTTGAGAGTGGAATGTTATTAATTGATTGAGTGAATAGTAAAGTATCTTTGACCTAACAATTTAGTCCCAGTCAATTTTTTATAACGATTTCATAAAAATAATTTGGAGTATATTCTGAGTGTTGTATTAACTGATTACAATTTCATTGAATTGCATTTATGAATATGTGAACCTAGTTACACTA